TCTCTCTCTCTCTCTCTCTCTCTCTCTCTCTCTCTCTCTCTCTCTCTCTCTCTCTCTCTCTCTCTCTCACGGTGTCCAGTGTTTCTTCTCCCTATTCGGCGCTCAGCGCCCAGACTACAGTTAGCCCTATATCACTTATATGACTGTAAACTCCGATATAGTCCTATATCACTTGTAGGACTATAGTGATGACGTTGCAACCCCGAGAAGAACTCAGCAGCAGGAAACAGAGAACGTGCAGATGTCGCCCACATAAATCACCACGAACCAGATACATGCCCTCTCGGCCCTCTCTCTGTCTCTCGAACGCTCCCTTGAATTCTCTCTGCTTCTACTGTTATGAGGATCATAACCCTGGATACATCCGCCTCCTACTTCAGCTGTACTTCTACTACTATTATGCAGCTATGGCCGCCTGTCTTCCATAGCATAGCGCTGCCCAGCACGGCTCCTTAGTGTTCCGTTACTCGCAATAGCGCACAAGCACCAACAGCGCTTCCACCTTCTCGTGAATGAGCAATCTGCCCAAATAAGTCTGGTCCAGTCTTCTTATTGACTTGGACTGGGCCCTGGCCATACTGGCCTTTGCTTGACTTGGAACCTGGCCGTACTGGCCTTTGCTTGACTTGGGCCCTGGCCAAACTGACCTTTGCTTGACTTGGGCCCTGGCCGTACTGGCCTTTGCTTGACTGGGGCCCTGGCCATGCTGGCCTTTGCTTGACTTGGGCCCTGGCCATACTTGCCTTTGCTTGACTTGGGCCCTGGCTGGCCTCTGCTTGACTTGGTCTCCGCTTCACTTGACTGGTACCGGTTGCCCGCGGCCTGTTTGCTTTTGGAATATTGCGCCGGTACCTTCCAGACTTTTCCAAAATTGGAGCGCTGCTGCATTTTTGGACTGTGGGACCTGACTGGTCATCGGCATGTTTTGACTTTGAACCCTGCCTTTTGGATGCCCGTCATGACTGCTTTTCAGTTTCGACCGTCTGGGCCCATGCAGAGACTTGGCGACTTTGACTCTGAAATTCTAATTTGGCCTATGCAGAGACTTGCGACTTTGACCCTGAAATTCTAATTTGGCCTATGCAGAGACTTGGGGACTTTGACCCTGAAATTCTGTTTTTTTTTTTGTTTTTTTTTTTTGAAAA